TGAACCTTTTTTGGCCAAAAATATTATTATTCTGAACAAATCTTAAATATTTCTAAAACGGTAATTCTGCGACGGAAGAGTGTCATTGTGGAGGTGTGTAATAAATCTGGGGGCCAGCGGTATCGTAGATAACACTGTTAAAACTTTGCTACCGTTAAAACTTTACTACCTGGTCGACCAGCGTCATGGGATATGGTGCCAGGTCCATCCTTGCGTGGTGCGGTTATTTTTTAAGTCTCCAGCCTTCATCCAAAGAAAACATTGCATGCTTTTTGCAAGTGTGTGGTTAACAAACATTCAAGTCATACATTGGATAAAACTATATTGTATCACTATATTTTAATTTTTATTAATAATTTATTAATCCAAAAAATTTTTTTTTTTTATGCAAAAACTTGAGTTTAAATATTATAAATAAAAAAATAAATGCTAAATTTTTTTTTTTTTTATAAAATTTAATGTAACTCAACTCTAAATTAATAAAAATTAATATTGCTTTGAAATGCCGAGCCACTGTAACCAATCAGCCATCCATTTTACAAAGTCCTCACCACATGGAATGCATCTATAAGTAGACATGAATCCCATTATAACTGTTCTGCCTAATTCCAGAATATAACAATCCTATAGATGACTTAGTTTCCTAACCAAAGCGAAATAAACCAACAATCAGTCTAGATGTCATGCTCAGTATAGAAAGATAATTATATGCCATTCTCAGGGTAGAGGACGCAAGAAAGATTCCAACCTCAGACTCAATGCATTGTGCCTTACCTAGGCCTATCAATCATGTAGCTGAGGGGTAATCTGAATTGCCAAAGATAGTACAATTTGAATTATCCCAATTCAAATGCCTTAATTGGCTTCCATATTTCTTGGGAATCCAAACAACAGAAACTTATCTCAAGGCAGGAGTATCTAATAAACATTAAACTATCAAATATAGGAATAAAGTACCTGAATTTTGGTTACCTTTAAGACAAGCTCGTCAAAGCACTATTCTACATTCACTTGAGTTTTTGGACTGCACTCTATAAAAGGCTGGGAATTCATATTCCCGAGCAAAGTCAATATCCTCCCTCCTTTTTGAGATCTCATTCACCTCCCTGCAAAAAATCACCAATGTGAATTGTACCATTAAATTCCAGGTGTAAAATAATAATGCTCAAGAATCATTCTCAGTAACACTCATATAGGCCCCTGAGAAAATTTCAGATGAATTCAAGATTAAGTTGTGACTGGGGCAAAAATGAAACATGGATAAAGCAAAATTGATCCAACTATAGGGATAAATTCACTACCACTTCAATCAACACCTTATCAATTTTGTTTCCAACAAGCATCTTGATGCCGTCCTGATTTGATGAGTACAGATAGATATGTGAATGTTTCTAGCAGGGTTATATCATGTATTGTATCAATACCACAAATAAAATACTGCATCAGCATAACAGCCTCTAAGTTCTATTAGCAAGTCATTTACATTTCAACCACAAAAGGGGAAAAAAAAAGATACAAGTAATAAAATAGCGAGCGTATTCAAATCTAACCAATTGAGAATTAACAGTAACCTTCAGAAATCAAGTCAATCTATTCATGGCTAAGCTTCACCGCCGTTGCAGCTGGCTGCCATGAACTCATGAAACTCAAGGTCATGGCGTTATCTCTCTGTTATTTCCACTACTCGCTGCCTATTGATCAGTGGCTAATTTAGTTCAAATTTGATGAATATCTCAACGACTGAGTGATCTGTGCTTTAAATTTAGAAAAATTCTGTTTGAATTTGTGTTTGGCTCCACTGTACGGATGCATTCATTTCGAAAATTTAGTCTGTACACTTGGCCTCTGCTGAGATCCGATTCATGATGCTGATCTTCAATATGCCAGATCTCCATTATATGTTTAACTGTTAGATTGATTGTTCTTAGTTTAAATCTTTGTTTTGAATTTGAGAAGTTCTTCTTTAGAGTATGTTTGATGAATTTGGAGTTTTATGTTTTGAATTCTGTGAAAATTTTGATTCAGATTCAATCCAAGCACCAAATGTTTCTGTTTTTGCTAAAAAATATCAGCTACTTTACGTTTAATTTCTCCATTTAATCAAGTTTAGTTTTCGTCTAAATCAATTGTTTGATTTTGTCCCTGTTTTGAGTTTAAATCCGGTGAGATGTTCACAGTTGGTGAAAAAGAGTTGATCGAAGCTCTACTAGAGCTCCGATAACGAAAAGGTAACGATCCTAGAATCGGGACAAATCCATAGGGTCCCATGTCCACGGGGGCGTTGTTCTTGTCGATAGTGTTATCAATTCCGTTTTAACCGGTCGATATGATCGGTACGTACCAATTTTTTACATTAACCGAAATGCCACATAATGCAATTTTGTTTTTATCAAAATCCCGATATTTTGATCAAAATTTGATGTACCAACTGGAATTTTGGTGTACCGATCAGTACATCAAAATTTCGGCCGATGTATACTGTCTAAATTTTTTTTAAAAAAAAAATCCTCCCCTTTTTCGGTGGTTGCTGAACCCCTTACTTTGGTCTGCTTTGTCTTCTCCCCGTTTCTAGTGGTTGCCAAACCCAGCCCTTACATCCAAATTTGGCCGGTGTA